AGTACTCTGCCAATGTCACACAAGGAATTGGAATTTTTTTAGGGCTCAGTCTCTCTGGTTCACTTGCACAATCAAAGATGACCCCAAGATGGTTGTCTATGGAGATTCTCAGTCATCTGGATCATGGTTGTCCCAAAGGTGCTTATTCAACAGGAATGAACTTTCCTGTTTTTCTTTGAAGACATTTCGCTTCTCATCCAAGAAGTTTCTCCAGTTCTGACTGGATGGTGGGAAATGGAAGGATTTATATTCCTTGCAGACAGCTAGTCATTTGGATTCTTTTAGAGAATCATTAAGGCCACTTGGAAGTTTATCTGTGTCCTCAGGATCACCTGAGTAGTGCAAATGGATGTGGAACAGAGGTGAGTTCCTGCTGGTTCGAACCTCTTCAGGTGTACCGGTTACAGAAATTTGCCGTACTTTTGTGTACCTGTTCCATGGGGGTGTGGCCATGCCCCGATACCGGTAGGCTCCCCTGCCCTGCAGCCCATTTGCAAGGCACTTCTCAAAGAGAAGGAAGCAAGGGCAGGGCTTCTTCAGAGGACCCGAGGCAAGAGCAGTGTTGAAGCCCTCTCTGAAGCAGCTGGAAAAGGTACGTGGGTCAGAGGGAGGGGGTGGAATTCAAACTTCATCCTCCTCCTGGTACTGTGCAGGGCTTTGGGCAAAGGCTGGAGGGAAGCACCTGGCTCACTCGTGCTCTCCCGCCCCAAGTGTAGTTTGATTGCGGGCGGAGCCACGTTGTCTTTTCAAACCTGTAATCAGTGAAGCTGCACTGGATTTTTACATAGCAGATCCGAGCCTTCTGGGGCTGAGGGAAAGTGTGTGTGCTACAGCATGGCTCTTTGCCTGGCTTCCTGCCACCTCCTATGGTCTCCTCAGTGTTTACTCATGCTCTCGCTCCCCAAGTATAGTGACTTCCTCCCCAAGTATAGTGACTTCCTCTCCAGGCCCCCATCCATTACACACACACACACAACACACACACACACCTGAATAAAGCTATGTAAAAATTCACTAATTACAAGTTTGAAAAGGCAATGTGGCTCTGCCTGCAATCAAACTACATTGGTGGGCTTTATTGCATTCCAGGCATTTCCCACCCAGACAGCAGGCTGCATTTGCAATGGGGCAGGATTTGAGGAAGGCAGCGGGGAATTGGGGGGGGGGGGAATGGCAGAGGAGCTGCTTTCAAGCCATTGGAAAATATATCCAATCCAACTTTTGTTTGTGTGTTTGTGTGTGTATGTGTTTGAAAGAGAGTGAGTAAGAGAGGGAAGGGGGTAGGAGAGATAATCCAATCCAACCTGTGTGTGTGTGTGTGTGTGTGTGTGTGTGTGTGTGTGTTTGCAAAATTTTGGTTGCTAAGCAAGAGCGTTGTTAAGTGAGCTTCACATTTTACCCGATCCATGACATCTCCTGGTGAGTGAAATCAAGTTGGCCACTCCCACCTGGTCACATGACTGCCAAGCCACTCCCACAAAACAGGCCACACCTACTGAATAGGTTCTAAAAAAAATTGAAACCCACCACTGGTGTAGAACCTTCTTGGAACTGCTGAAAGGACTGTGTTGTGGAGCTGTGATTTCTTTAGGATGTTTCCTGCCTTGTGTCCCTTCACTGTTGAACACAGGCACAGGCTGTTGGGGATGAGTCTATGTTTCTGCATCTCAAACTGAAGTGCAAATGGTTCCTAATTTTTCTGAAAATCTGTTCATACTCCCACACCATTTGAAGGGTGTTCATCCCAAAGTGCATAGCTAAATGTCTATGGAGATTCTTAGTCAACTAGGTCATGGAAGGTTCTTGGATGAGAAGCAAAATGTCTTCAAAAAAAAACCAAGGAAGTCTAGTTGCCTCTTGAAAAAGCACCCCTGATCTGAGCCTTTGGTTAAAACGTATATTCTATGTCTTTTCCTCACTTCCTGATATCTCTTCCAAGGAAGAATGAACATTTTGTTTGTTTCTTGGATTTATTAAGGCTGCTCAACTCCAAGAACATTCTGGGTATATAAAATAGGTCCAACACATATATTAAAACAAATTAAAAACTACTTAATTGCCTAGACCAAAACAACAACAGGGGCTCCACAACTCTAACCTCAGACTTCGGGACAAACTTCCAAAATCAACCAAAAATTGAAGCCTTGCATATCTCTAGGAAGCTAACTCAGTGTCCTATATTGAAAAGGTTTTACAAATTTTAGAATATTTAAAAGGGCAATGCTGTTTGAAGAAGTGGGAATACATGAATACTAGCAAATCGACATTATCAAATGGGTCAATTGATCAGAATGAATTAAGCACATCTAAATTGATAAATTTTTGACACATCCTTTGATATTATAAAAGTTTGATGTAGTAAGTTGTTACCTTAGTACTGGTAAAAAGTAAAGTTTCCTGCTAGTAGTAAAATTGCTGCTACTTCTTCTGTGTATAGTATAATATATCAATGAATTACATGAATAGTACTTACATTTGTGTCTAAACTTACTTCCTACTTCCTGTTTAGATATAAGACAAGCGTAATTACACTGACTAGCACTGTTGCTCAGACTGCTAATGACCAGCAGTTGATTTCTCACACTCTTCTTCAGTTTTCCAAAACCATCTGCTTTGGGTAGTTTTTTGTCCCAGGAGGTTCCCCTCTTCCCCCTTTTCTCTCCGGGCCCTCATTGATGTCCGTTTCAGCGAGCCTTGCTCCAGGTTCTCCAGGAATTCTCCTTTCAACCAAATAAAACTGGCTAATCTATTTCAGGATTTTCAGCCATCACTGTTGGAGTTATCTCCTTTATTCTTCCTTAGTTGTATAACATTGCCATACCTGAATAATAGGGATGACTATAGCCAAAAGTGCAGACTAAGAATGTAAAAATATCTGAAGCACCCTACTTTCAAATGTGATCTTTTGAAGGGGAATAACCATTAGTATCACTTCACCTTAAAACAGATCAGCAGACAAGTGTGGTTTAGAAAATAGAAGAAAGGAGAAGAGCTTACCCAAATCCAGAGAGTAATCGACAGAAGAGAAAGAAGCCATAGCCCTGGACAAATGATGAAAGGAAAGCAAAGAATCCATTGACCGACATACATATCAGAAGAGACTGTCTCCTTCCCACCTTGTCTGCCAAGCCTCCCCAGAAGAACGCTCCCACCATCATCCCAAGGTATACTATGCTACCTGAAACAGACACAAAAAAATAATGTGTAGGATTATACAGTACTATTACGATAACATTTCTGTTCTTAGTATTAACCAGTGCTATCATTTATTTAGAGCTATTGCAAGTGAATAATTTGCATATCCAATTATGGGAACAGTTCCCTATCCCCTCATATCTCACATTTAATATATATTTATTTGCCAAAATATCTAGTATTTAAATTTGCTGTGTCACACAATTCTGCTTTCTATCTAATCTAAATCACGTGTCACAGCTGATCATCAGAAAAAACAGTTTGCCTGAACCAGTAGCATTTTTTTTTACTACTGGTTCGGGTGAATGGGTAGCATTTTTACTACCGGTTCGGGTGAATGGGTAGCATTTCACCCCTGAATTAGATGCACATAGATATAATAAAATAAAGCACAAGGCAAGCAAATACAGGAACACCACAGCAATAATGAAATAAGAAATTACAAATATAATGTAGTCCACTATAAATCTATACACTACTAAAACTTTTATTATGTTTATCTTTCTGTTTGTATCTTTAAGTTAGCCCAAATGGTGCATCATATCATAACAATTTTGGAATCAAGATTTCTACAAGTCCACTTACAAAAATGCATAGAAAATCTGGGACCCATTGCTAGTAGAACTGAAATTCCATGATAATCAGACCAGTTTTATTCACAAAAGTGCCTCTGTGCTGCATTGCCCAAGGTGACATGATTATGATTTATATATTTTATAAATACATTATATATTTACATACTCTTCTTAGATGATCACAGAACCATCTAACGTTGTAAAAAAATATGATCAGTCTAAAGTTTAATCTTAATTCTGGTCACTCAGACTGTATGACTTTCTTTCAAAGGATGACCTAATGGGTTACAGGTTATCCAGTATGTTCTAAAAGAATTATATCTCGTCAGGTTACAGGTTCAATATCTCCTAAAAACATAGCTAAAGAAATACTACAGTTGCTTCATCAGCATAAATTCTTAATATCTTTGTTCCAAAACCAGGTAGAATTTGAAACCAGTTACAAGGTATTGACAATCTGTTGTAAAAATATGTAAATTCATGTATTTACAACTGCTTTTGTGGCCTGAGGTGGAGGCTAGCATCTCACTGTATTTAGAAGGCTTTCTTTAAATAACCCAAACATAAATGGTGCGGTAAAAAAATACTTACCGTAAATAAGATTTTGTTTAAGTTTTTTTAAAAAAAATTCTGGGCATTTATTTCAAATTATATCCCATGCCTTATATTCCTCTGTGCACTTTCACAAGAATAAGAGTCTGACAAAATCATATTAGTGGTCTGCGGGATTTAAAATTATGAATTTAGTGGTTCCTGAGGTCCGAAACGGTGACACCTGGTTTGGAACATCCAATAAATTCAAAATGGAATCTTTATCTTGATTAATTTCAATATTAAAGACAATTTAATATTCTTTCAGACTTGCAGCTACTAATATTCCAAATATTTATTCTGTACATTATAATGTCAGCAGTTTTAACTTTAAATATGTACAGTACTTTTACTTTTGATACAAATGTCATGTATTTGTAGGTTTGATTTTATCAGATCCATAGTAAGTTGTCAATACATGCTTCAATTGGGTATGTTACTCCAATGTTAAAAAAGATGAAAGTTAAGAGAAATATTTAAAATAATACCAAATTTATTAAATAATAATTAAAATGATGTTGTGCTTAAAGACTGTGAATGATTTACTTCACGGCTGCAGCCATAACTGATGTTGTAAGTTAGGCATGGTCAGGAGAGGTTTCACTTTACAACCTTTGCCCTTAGTAACAGAGCTGCCAGTCCCAATGGCAGTCAGAAAGTGAGGACTACCTGATTATCAACTCCAATTTTTACCACAAATTTACTAGAAATGCAATATAATTAGCTTTCCAAAGAGACTCACAGAAGTTGACAATCTTGTAAATTCTCATTCTGTATAATGCATTGACAAAATGAAATACATCAATGATGTATTTGAAAATCTGGTAAATTAAAAGTATCATCACCAAAAGGTAAAACTCATTTTAGACACGGTAATATTTGGTGACAGAATATAATATTTTTAAACACACACTAAAGACTCATTAGACTATAAGAGAATGCAACAGAAAGTACAGTGATGACAACAAATAGAAAAATTCCAAGAGTCAATCAAATCAATGGCTTTCCTACTCAAATGCTCATCTGCACTTATCCATATTTTTTCTGCTGATTCTGGATTTCAGAGTACTTTGCAAATGACATATACACTACATAAATATTTTGATATTAACATCTAAATCAAGAATGCATACACTTATAAGCAAGCCAATTCATAGAAGTCTGTTTTTAAATCCACTCTGAAGTCTCCCTAAACAAAGAGACACAAGAAGATGCAATGTACAAAGTACACAGCTAGTTCATGACTAAAGAGTTTTACTGGAACTGGAATTTCCTTTGCTAAATGATGCATTAGGTAAAATACCATGTAACTGTACTGCTTAGTGACAAAGATTTTGGTAGTCCTGGCTGCAATTGTTGGGCAGGATTATGCACTATTGATAAGTCAGGAGCTCACTTTCTCCTGTCCAACTGCATTCATTTTCACTTCAACTCTTTCCACCAACCTATTTCTCCCCCATCTCTGCCCTTTTGGCTATCCTGTATCCTCCTGCCCCAACTGACCTTTGTCATCTTCTTCCTCCCACTGCTGATGAGGCATGCCCAACTTGGCCCATCATGGGCTAGCTGTTGGTTGTACAAAACCTTTCTAGAGCAACAGAATGTAGAGCAGGAAGAGCAACAGAATACAAAGCAGACTAAAAGACAGTGATGGGGGAAGAGATAGGTGGGTGGACCTGGTCCAATGGTGGGTTGCAGGCAGTACGCCCCAGTATGGGCATACCAGAGCCTGCCCAGAGCACCAGGTACCATTCCGTTCCAGTGCTCCGGAGGGCCTACCCGCCCACCCGCATTCCTTACCTGTGCCTTCAGCGCTTCCGCGCACACACATGGCACGTACAGTGCCTGCGCGACGCTCCACTGAGCAGCTGGAGTGTCACGGAGGCTTGTGGAGGAGTCACTAGAAAGTAAGATGCATGCGCACGTCGCATGGAGGACGCCAGAACCCACCACTGACCTGGTCATAAATGCAGGTGTGTTTTTCAGGATCCACATCTTGATCATGTGACCATAAGGGTGCTGCAATGGCTATAACATCAAGGACTGGCCATAACTAAGACTTGTTCAATCCCATCATAATTTCTCACTATTTTTGAATAAATGGACATTTAACAAGGACTACCTGAAAGCAGATGAATGATAACACTAAAGGGGAAAAAAATTCAAGAGCCAGCTAAGCAGAGTTGCTTTTCAAATGCATTTAAAATCAAAGGAATAATTTCCAAGCTTAATTATCATCTTACAGAAATAGACAATATCTAGTATAAAATCTGTTGCAATTCGCAATGCTGGGCAAGGTTGATGGTTACTGAAATTCAGTTTAACTGGATGGCACCAGGTTGCCTATCCCTGAATCATTATATAGCCCTTGAATAGCCAAAAGACTAGACAGAGGCCACATTATTTAATCCAATTTGCACAAATAATGTGTAACATCTCAAGAAATGATGTGAAATAACTGACAGATACTTTTACTACTAGTGTCAAAAGTATAATTTGAACGTATCTTCACTTACCCAATAGTTCCTGCTAATATTTAAGAGAGAATCCTAACTGACACGACTGAGATAAGGCAGATTTGGTTAAGTATGTGTTATATTCCCTGTAATAACACTCAAGTCAGATTATTATTTTCTCTGTAACTGAGGACCCTCAAATGTTTCTTTTAGATTTTTGATACTAAATGCAGAAGCAGTAACCATGTAAATCTTAAATTCATCCTTTCATAGAAGCAAATTAGCATGATTCTCTAGTCTGAAATCTACTTGAGGTTTAAAGAGATCCTCAGTGGCATATGCCATGAAACCACATAAATATTCCTCATTCTCTAGGATTAATTGCGCCTCACAATGAAAATCCTCCATTTTAGATGATTTAAGATGTTTAAAACTAAGAAGAAATATGGAAAAAATAAAAACAAATAAAAGAAATTTTCAAGTGTTATAAAATTAAATTTTCAATGTAACATTTAATCAATCCTCTAGATTGAAAGTTTCTTGTATTAATCTGAGATTTCAAGATGGTTATTAACATTAAAACAATATTAAATAAAAGAGGTAGTATAATATGAATCATATGTCAAAATGAATTATTAACAAAACTTTAGATTAAAGGAAAGTTGGAGACTGGGCAGAATTTACCCAAAACTATCAGGTCCAACTATGGCTTCCTAAGGATGGGGCATATCACCCCCTCTTTTAAGTCCGGTGTGATCACAAAGAAGCATTAATTACTGCTTGGACTACAACTGCATGGCACCTCCCAGCAGACCTCGACCAGACAAGAGAGGTGTGGATCTATACCACGCAGGTCCTGTGGCAGAGCACACAGGAACAAGAACCCTGTCTACTTTCTCAGGATTGACCAGCTTAAACTAGATGTGCTTTGGTCAGAAGATCCATTAGCTAGGGTCTTAATTTTTTTCTCTTTATCATAAAGATTTATACGGATCATTTGAACATTGAGTTTGGTAAGATATGGGTTTTTTTTTAAAAAGGTTAACCTATTCCTTCTAATTCTTTTAAGTCCTACTATGCTGCCTTATTGTGATCCCCCGAGGGATCAGTAAAGAACACTACATCAAGAACATTTACTCCCAACAGGGTCATCCAAGATGGGAAGATCACCCCAGACAAATACAACTCGAGACAATCTTATTTCAGGTAGCATCTATATGTGAAAACTGTGAAAACAGATGCTCACCTTCAGGGGTGAAATCAACTTACCTTCGCTACTGGTTCACACATGTGAGCACACGCGTACGTGGAGAATGTCAAAAGCGGGACGTGATGACGCCTGGGCAGATGGGTGGAGCCTCCTGCCACCATTGCTACCAGTTCACCCGAACCGGATAGAACCGGCTGAATTGCACCATTAGCAAAGGCAATTTGATATTTCATACTACACCGGAGCAGTGGTGGGTTCTGGATCCCGTTGCAACCGGTACGGTACAATGGGTCCCGGCGTCCACGCACGCATGCGTCACCTCTTGCAATGCCTCCACGATGCTTGGAGGAGCATTCACGCAGGCACTGTATGCACAGTGCGTGGAAATGCCGAAGAGCTCAAATACAGGTAAGGAGGATGGGCAGGCAGGTGGGCCCTCTGGAGCACCGTACCGTAACGGTACTCGATGCTCCCAACAGGCACCAGTATGCCCGTACTGGGGCATACCGCCTGCAACCCACACTCCACCAGAGAAACCATCATAACTTTGAACAATGGTCAAAGGTCAAGGATAACTTACACTTTTTTTCACCTGAGCACCATAAGAGTAGTTGTGGTAACAGTCCACGCTGATTTGCTATCAGCTAGCCAACATGCAAAAAGTGATAGGGAAGAATATTTTTTTACAAAATGAACACCTGAACACAAATCAATACAGCAAAAATGACAAAAGTTAGTCTGAGAAGTTGAACAAAGAAAAGGCAATTCTATTGGGTTCTTTTAAATGTTTTAAAAAACAGGGTGGCTGTTTATTTATGTATTCATTCAATTAGCATAATCACCCATCTCATAATTGCAACTGGGCAACTTATATAGTTAAAAACAACCCAAATAATGCAACCAATATCCAAAACACGGAAGAACCTTTTAAGGCAAATTAAAACCGAAATTAAACCCAAAAAGCATAAAAAGCAAGTGCAAGTTAACAAGAATAACAATCTAGCAGTTTTCAAACCAGGATAGCTAAAAATAGATGATTTTTTTAAAAATGGATTTTTTATTTAAATCATTAAATCATTAAAATCGTTTATTTTTATCAAGAGGCTTATCATTAAGCCTAAAAGAAAAGTGTCTGATTTTATCTTTATACTCACTCTAAGAATCTTCTGTATTAAGATGTGAACCTTACTCCAATATTTCTTTGCTTTGGCACATGTAGAAAATGCTGACAAATTCTGGATAGATTTTTATAACATCCAGAAAGGACAATAGGAGAGGTAAGGAGAGGGGCAGTGGCCACATTCTGAGTTTTGAGAGCATGATAAGGACATTTTCATAAGAAGCATGCATCTTCACAAAATACCAGACACAAATTATGACTTTTTTCGTAGGGGAAATAGGGGAGGGTACTTTCCTATGATGATGCTTGTACCCCAGTTTATCACTGACCCTTGGGGGAGGTACAGGTAGGCATTTTTCCAAACAAAATGCCTGACTGCAGATACTCTCCATGTTTATGTACAATTGCAAGAATCAGAAAAGATGCTAATGAAGAAATCCCACTACTTCAGTATGTTAAGAGCCTAATCCTATATATGACAGAATAAAACGATACCTCTTAAATCTCTTCCTTCATGCAGCATAACAGGTTGTGTGCTTTTTCACTTCTGGGTGGAAAGAAGAGTTGATTCCTTTTATTGTTGTTGTAACAAATCAATTTAGTACGAGCTTCTTTGCCTTTGAACTTTGTCTGATTTACCCTTCACAATATACTGCAGATTAAGGCATTTTCTAATTTCTCATTACAATACTTTATATACTGGTTTTTATGCTTCATAGCCTAGGCCAGTGATGGCTAACTTTTTCTAAAGGTGTACCAAAATTGTGTGCCCCCCCTAACAAGTGCATGCATGCATGACCCCACCTATGCATGCATGTGTGACCCCACCTATGCAAGCATGTGTGAACCCACTTGTGCATGCATGCGTGACCCCCCCCAACCTGCGCATGCACGTGCCCTCCACAGCCTCCTGAGACTTTCCTGAAGCCTGGGGAGGGCAAAAATGGCCTATCCTGGCCCTCCAGAAAGCCGAAAATTAGCAGGCTGGCGCACACATGTGTATTGGAGCTAAGGGCTGCTGTGCCGGCAAATAGGGCTCCGGTGCCACCTGTGGCACGTGTGCCATAAGTTCACCATCACGGGCGTAGGCATATATTTATTCAAGACTTTTATATTCTTAGCTTTCAATTTCAAGCAACTGGACAATTAGGAACAACAAACCAATTTTGTTGTATTTATTTTGTAGAATGACAATAAAAACGATACTATAAACTTGCTTTTCTGCTTGTCTTAATGCGGATGAAAAGAAAAACACAACTTTTGTCTTACCAAAATAGAAAACATCTTACATATGTTCATATTGTTATCCAGATAGCATTGGTCTAATTATGATTCAATGTGACAGATTAGAAGTAACACTCACCAAGCCACCCTGATCCAGAGTTGGGGATGCACAAATCTGTCTCAGCACTGGGCAATACAAATCCAACCACAAAAACCTCTACTCCGTCTGCCATTAGTGCCATCCCAAGGACAAAAAAGAGGGCCCACTGAAAACGTCCATGCCCACATTCTTGAATGATTAACTCATATTGCTGTGCTAGCTCTTCTTCATCAGCTTTTCGCTCTGTCTCCAATTCACTTCGATCCTTGTAAACATCTGTGATTTGCTGTCCTAAAGCTGCAGTTCCGTCTTTGTTCTGGGCTGTACTTGGGATTCCTTGATACTCTCCCTCATAAATCTCATCATCTTCATCATGTCCTTCAGTTGCGTCACTTGATCCTTCGTCCTCATTTCCTTCTCCTTCATAATTTCCATCTTGATTATAATAATCATTTTCTTCTTTAGTCTGGAATCTACTGTAAGATCTTTCAGTGTAGCCATCTTGAGCTCTATCTGCTGCTCGGTTTGCTTTCTTTACTGCCTGTTTTTTAGCCTCCTTAGCAATGTCCTGAGCTCCTTTTGCTAATAAAACCCTATCATCCATCTCATAAGCTCTATCCATTGTTACTTATCAAGATGTATTCACTATAGTTCTGTCCAAAAAGGTACTCGTGCTGGATCAGCAGCGGGAAACTCCAAACCACATTCAGTTTCAAAACAAAACCTAAAAAGAAGAAGAAAGTAAATTAAAAGTTGTTTATTCTTAAGAGAATCACACAAATGATTTAAAATGATTCCTGCTTAGGAAACATAACTATCTACCGATTTCCCACAGGTTAAAACATACTAATTTACAGATGGGTGGTGCAATACAGAAATGCTCCTACACACAACACAGACCTCAGATGACATAGATCAGGGATGTCAACTCAAGGCCTGCGGGCCGGATCCGGCCCATGGCACGTATAGATCTGGCCCACGGGCCACCCTAGAAACAGCGAAGGAGAAGGCGGGGCTTAGCAGTGAGAAGATGGAGTTTCAGGCTACTTCTGAAATTCCTCTATACCGAAGGATTTTTGNACATAACCCTAAAAATAACCCTAAACCTAACCCTAAACATAACCCTAAAAATAACCCTAAACCTAACCCTAAACCTAACCCTAAACCTAACCTTAAACCTAACCCTAAACCTAACCCTAAACCTAACCCTAACCTTATCTTAACTTAAATCGCGCTTCTGTCGGCGCGCTGTTGTCGGTGTGCTTTTGACATCGCAGTTTTAGCGCCACCGTTTTGTCGGCGCGCTTTTGACGTTCGCGCTTTTGTCAGGTCACGGGAATTAGGTATTTAGCAGAGTGATGGCATGGGGGGAAAACCTGTTTCAGTTTGTGTCTAGTTGTTTTGACATGCAATGCCCTGCTTTGTTAATTTCTGTTTACTAAAAAATATCTTTATTTGGCTATGATTGGAAAGAGAGAATTGGAGGCTTTGCTAGAGTAATGAACATTGAGAGAAAAAGGGAAGCATTCCTATTGCTGAAGCAACCAGATCAATGCTCTCTTACTTTGACTACAGCTTACAAAGCTGATTTGATGGGCTAGAACAGTGTTTTTCAAACTTGGCAACTTTAAGACTGGTTGACTTCAATTCCCAGAATTCCCCAGTCCGCATGCCAGAAATCCACATATCCACAAGTTGCCAAGTGTGAAATCACTGGACTGGAGCACAGGAAAATAATGCTTCCTTTGCAAATATTATGATTTATATCAAGAATCAGACAAAAATAAACCTTCTAAAATGAAATAAAGTATATGAACAATTAAGCTGGTCATCCAAGTGATCTCTACTCTTGGGGGAGCATCATGGCACTATTTTGTAGGAGAGAAAGCAAGTCATTCCAATCTTTTGTGTCTTCTAGGCAGTGCCCTTGGTAACCTTGATATTGCCACTGGTTCTACAATGCAAAGTCCAGAAGAGAGAAAAGCAGTGCTTCACAATGTGCTCAAGGAATACATAGATCAGGGGTCAGCAACCTGTGGCTCTTTCATCCCTCTGCTGTGGATCCCTGTCACAGGTTGGCTCCACAATCGATAGGACGTTCGGTTAGGACAGGTAGAGGAAAAAGGACACTGTGGTAGGAGGAGACTCTATGGTGGGGGAACCAGACTTCCAGTCAGCTTCAGAACTGAACGGGGGGCTTCCAATTAGGACCTTTGTGGCTCTTTGAGCATTTAATGTTGCTGACCCCTGGCATAGATTAGCTCATAATCAGTACGGTGATAGAATGGAAGTAAAGTTTCCTAGTGAAATTGGATTTGCCATGCCTCGAGGGAGATTCTAATCATCAGCAGGTGAGTCAATGGAATTATAATTACTTGTGTTTAGTCTAAATTGGCATTATGAGAAAAAGGCATAAATCCCAACCCACTTGATCTGAAAGTCCAGAGGTTTGGCTGAGTGTGAATTTCAGGCAGCCTCAACATATGAGGATAAGATAAGCATGTGGTTAAGAAATAGAAGCCTATGACATTCATAAATATTCCTGGCAAGAAGTTCTTCTTGCCCTTTAAGGTTAGCAGAGGCAGAAAAAATATTTACCCAAGAGAGAAAACCTGGATCACTCTAACTTGTAATATAGGAGATTAATTTCATTCAAAAGCTAAATCAGAACATTTGAATATAAAATGATGATTCTTCACTGAAAATAGAAAAAACAATGCACACCAAACCCAGATGCTTTCCTCTATCGAATTTTATGGGGCATAGTTAGATCAGAGTGCCCTGACATTACTGTGAACTTTTAAAGATGGATATATAATAATAGTAACACATGGCATGTGGACATATGAGAAGAATATGATAAGACTTGCACTCAGGCAACTCAACTAGCTTTGATTTGCAGCTGTAAGACTACAGTAAGTCCAAGAGGCTTCAGTACATCCAGCAGATGTACCCCGAATGGAATAGTTTTAATCTGTACAACATATCTATTCTGTAGTTAATATTTAAACTCTGAACACTGCTCTGTGCCATTATACAAGAGATCTTTTATTTACAAACATTTGCTATTCACTTTATCCTAAGTTTGGGAGAAAATATTCAGATGACTCTTCTTGATATCAGAATTAATTAGTGTTACATTGAGACGAGAATGTCAACATTGCTCTATCACACAAACATAATCATGACTGTATAAGAGAAACAGAAAGATACAAAGGTTGATCTGTTTCTGGCTTAAATTTGGCTTGGAATGTTTTGTTCTGTTTTGAAATGAAGCAAACCATGAACATCCCAGTCCCCCAAGAAACATGTTATAATCTTACAAGCATATGAAAGACTGGAACTTTCATGGAAAATGGAACACCCATCTTTGCCACCTGCTCTGTAACAACACAAACAAAAGAAGTTTGACTCATAATCTAAGTTGAGAAAGTAAATATCTGAGAAGAAGGATTTTTCTTCCATGCTTCCATCTTCTTCTCCATATTAAATAATCTTAACAAATGAAATAACTGTTGTTGTAATCCTTGCCAAGTTTGTTGGTTATGTTACAGATGGTTTGACCATTTCAGAAGTGGTCCTTGGATGCATGGGATATCATTCTTCACATCCATATTTCCTACATTAAATCAGTGGCAAATGGGATAGAGTATATAATAAGTATAGCATATTAGAATACCAGAAAAGAAAACATTTAGAACTATTCTAAAAGGGAAACCACTTTCAGAACAGCAATTTCTTATTTGTTTAGTAGAACATAAAATCTTATGTATCTTGCAAATGTTTTTATTTCATCTATCTTATCCAATACAATCAGAAAGTAAAACTATCTGCTAACATCTTGCCATATTTTGAATGTCCATAAACATTCCAGGGACATGAAAAATGTTACACAGCATTGTACTGTATTATATAGACATATCTTAATAGCGAATGCCAGCTTCCTGGCAAGCCTGCAATTCACAATACAAATTTGCCATCCCCAATGCAGATTTTTACAGGAAATGGCTCTCTTGTCATGTACACAGAAAAATACCCCAATTCTAGAATATAAAAATTGGAGCACTTTAACACCAAAATGGAAGTTGCTAGGCCAAGAAAAGCAGAAATTAACAGGGTTTCCCCAAATTAAATTTTAAAACATTTAGAAAAAAGGAAATACAAGAAAATTGAAGCAGAGTAACAGATGCTTCAGGTCCTAATTCTGAAGGAATCGTTTATAAGTCTAGGAAATAATTTGTATTAGAATGCTAATGTGCATTACTACGTGCTCCTATCTTATAATTCTGTGTGGACACTCAATAGATGTCTATATAGTATTTCAGCCTTTTATACATGCATTTTGCTCATGAGTAAATAATTTGTCTTTACAATTTTAAATCCCATTCTATCTATTTATATGTAGTTCTATCTTGTCATTTGCTTGTAGTACTGAATTTAGGTTAGGTTTAGGTTTATTGTTTTGTATGCCACCCATTCCCGAAGGACTCCGGGCGGCTCACAATAAACAGTGGGGGGGAATAAATAAGACAATACAAACAATTTTAAAATCCACAACAGTCACAATTAAGACGGGGCTGGGTGCTTTAACAGCCCCCAGCCTGCTGGTACAGCCAGGACTTAGTGGCTTTACGGAAGGCCGGGAGGGTAGTAAGGGTCCGGATCTCCATGGGGAGCTCGTT